AACTCTTGGACCCCTGGGATCTCTTACTCCTGAGTCTTATATTTCTGAATCTCATCACTGTATGCTTCCAGGGACAGAATGAGGCCTCTGAACAGCTTATGTTCACTGGTGTGGCTCTAGGCTTAGTTGAAAACTGGTGTCTCTGCCATGCTCCCATTAATTGATCAGCCCCTGACTTGAAAATCCAAACCCCCTTGTCCTCACATGGAGCTGTAGCCTTAGACCTCCACTGCTACCTTTTTGGTCTCTGGACTTTTGCTTGAAAGCTTACATTGCCTTGACATCTGTTAATTAACCAGCACAATTCATACTTTTCAACACTAGAGGGAACTTAACACACAGGAGTAGAGGGGAGCATATATTACATCTACCATATTGTTCTGATAGCTCAACCCTCTGTTTGTATACTGCCTTGGGAGGGGGAGGTGGTTTGAGGGTGAGGAAATTGTTGGCCTATACTTGGAACAGTATGGTACTCCTGTTCTCTGCTGTTTCACTGGCACTGCTCATGGCAAATATGACATATGAAAAACGCATAGTAGAAGAAAGGGATAAACCAAATCCAAAGTGACCAGAGCAGGGACTGGATGCCCCCTTGGAAACCAAGGCAGGGACCAGGAGGCTTAAGTAGAAGTGTAATGCCCTCCCCTGCCCTTGCTGTCTCCCCAGGGCAGTGAGGTGTCTATAGAAATGGGGATTTCTGTGCCTGGTGTCCATGGTGCTGGGCATGTCTAGGTTCCTTAGGGACAGGGGTGACTCCCCACTCCATCTTCCTGTACTGGTTGTTTGTGTAAAGGACATGTAAGTACTAGGGATGAAACCTTGCCCTATTAGAGTTCAGTAGAGAAACCTTGTTCCCTGGAAAAAGGTCAGGAATTCTTCTGAAAGCTCTTGCTATGTAGATTGTGCTGGAACAATATGCTGTCTAGCATTGTGTGTACAGGGATCTGGACTGCTCTGTCCTCTTTCTCCCAATGAAGATTGAGCATTGGCTGTTAGACCCAAGGCTAGCTTGCACCCCCTTCTGAGAGATTCAGTGCAACCAGCCCATGTTTCACAGCAGCCCTTAGCTGACAGGGGGATCTGAATCTTTCTGGCTTTTTTGGATGCCAGCTTGCTTGTTTCTGAAGGGAGCAAGAATCTGTAAAATGGTTGAGCAGAGCAGAATAGTTGGCTTGTGCTGATGGAGAAGTGGCTGCCTCTGTCTCTTGCTGTTGAGATTTTAGCTGCTGAAGACTTCATTCTGTGCTGAGCCAGTGAGCAGAGCCATGGGACCTGTTCCTAGATCTCTTCTGACATGGTCACCCAAAATTCCCTTCAAGGCACACAGGGTGGGGTGGAGTGTTTATACCAGGAGATAAATTATATACTGTGCTAAGCAATTGTTTGCAAAGAAACGGGTCTAGAAGTAGGGGGCCTGAGACCCGACCACTGAGAACTAACCTTGGATCTATTAAAGGGTAGGCGACCCCTGGCATGCAAAGGCATTTTGCTTGCCAGCGCACATTGGGGCAGACGGCGGGGGAGGAGCCAGGGCTGCATTGCCACAACAAGGTTTGGGCCCCTTGCGGCTCCCCTGCCATCTACCCCTGGCAAACTAACAACTCAAAAGTTGAGGTTGTGGGTGTTTTTGTTGCCACTCCCTGATATATAACATTGGGCTGAGGGCAGGCTTCCTGGTGCACTTTCCATCCTGCTACTTTGGAGCTTTTCCCCTAAGGTGGGCAATGTAGGGTCTGCTTTTTCCCACATGCCCCACTCGTCTCCCAATATTGTGTGCAGAGGAACTGATCTACCTGCAATCACATAGCAAGGCAGGAACAGGACCTTTGTCCTGTTTTTGTCTGCTCTAACCATTGGACAGAGTGCCACTTATATCAGGATAAAACTGTCAGCTGCATATCTGGTGTCTGACTTATTTGCTCTGGGATTTTTTAATTTTATTTTTGTGATCTCTTGCTCTAACCACAACTGTCACTTCTAGACAAGCCCCTCCTACCACCTGCATGCCAGCTGAAATTGGTTTGAGAGGATGTTCCTTCATTCTGCGCCCTAGCTCTCTTGCAAGGGAGACCTGAAGGATAAATCAGCAAGGTGATTGTGGGGTGGGAGGGGAGAAGTTATGCCCACCTTGTAGATATTTGGATCTAAGATACAAGCTCAGTAACTAATTTGTATAAGTGTGAGTTTACATCATACAACAAGAGGGAGCTCCCTGTTAACTCAAACCTAGTCTAAATACAACGTTGGAAAAGTTAAATGCTTTAGGTTTAAACTATTATGGATTATACTGGCTTTACTCACAGGAGGGAATTAACAGGAACAAGTTGAGCTGAAAGAATCTCTCAACTGCTCAGTCAATGCAAGTTACTCCCCTAATTTGATTTGATTTGAAATCTAACTTGATTTTAAATCCATGCAATTTACATACAGTTGAGCCTACCATGATACTAGGGCCCCTGGAGGGTGAATTCCTTGGCTTGGATCACTTATTTCATCCGTTTGTGGCTATATAACCAGGCTCTGCCCTGGAGGCCTGGAGGTGAGCAGTAAGCATCACTGAGCCTGTCAAGCTGCTCTTGCCAGTGCTGAGCTGATAACTGCTTTGGCCTCTGGGGAAGGAGGCTGGGATGTAAATGCTGTGTAAATAGGCTCAGATCCCCTTGACAAGTGCCTTGCTGGAGGGGTAGAAGACAGAAGCAGGTAAGTGGCTGTAAGTGCTGGTTCTGGCATCCCTGCATTTGATGAGCTGGAAGCTGTTCTGCTCTTATGCAGTGCAGGGTTATAAGATGCTTTGCCACGGGCCAGTTTGTTCCATAGCTGAACTGGGATTGGAGTTGAACCTTATCTGAGTTGCAACAGGTGACGAAGCCCTGCAGAGGGAGAGGGGTGGCTGGGAGGGAGGAGGGGGTGTGGAGCAGACATACCAGTTCTGTGCGGTGCCTGGGGTCTGCCCTTGTAGAGTACACTTGCTCTCCTGTCTGTTTGACTGTGACGCATCTGGTGCAGTTTGCTTGCTGCCATAATAAACAAATGTATGAGATGATGGGAGTTGGGAGGTCTGGGTGCAGTGGCTGGGTCTGCCAGATGGTGTGACCCTAGGGAAGTCATGGAACCTCTGGGCCTTGTTTTCTGGCCTGCTGAATGGGGATAATGCTCCCCCTGCTGTGACTACTTGGTCTCTTCTGGCCCAGCCAACCCCCAGCAGGATGTAGCTGTCTTCTCACTTGCAGCCTCCAGATGCTTCTGCAATATAATCTTAGTCATTTCTGAGAGAGAAGTAGGTTTGAGGGAGTCCCTCTGATCAGCCCTGCCCTCTACCATGTAGGGCATCAGCCCTCAGGTTCATTATTTTTTTTTTTTTCTCTATCTCTGCCCACCACTGTCTTTTGAGAGGCAAGAACATACCTGAAAGCAAGTTACTGCTTTTCCTCGGGAGGTGTCTGGTGCTCCTTACAATCCATATGTCCCGTCTCCCCGAATGTGTTCAGTTTTCCTAGGTGCTTCCATTGCAGAGTAGCGATGCTTTCCATCCTCCTGCTAATGTGGGACCCTGTGATTCGGCTTACACAAGGTGCTGTCTGGCTCTGCTGCCCTCCTTGGCTTCCATGTGCTAAAATTCATCAGCTGACTGTTCAGCATGGGCTGTGGTAATTCTCCAACAGTGCTCATCTCGCTGATGTTCCCTGCTGTAATGGACTTGGCTCTTGGCTCTTCACGAGCCAGGAACTTGTCCTTTTAAGCTCAACTTCTACTGTCCTGGGGAAAAACATGTTGAGGTGGAGGGTCAGGTGAGTGAGTCTGCTAAGGCCTGGAATATAGCCCAGATCTCAAATACTTTTCATTCCCAAACCCTTTGGTCTCACCTTCCTGGCCCAAGATTCAAGTAACATGAGAGCAATGAAAGGCCCAGGTCTGTAATAGACTTGCAGTTGGTTACACTGAGAATGCACGTAGGCCTTTAGAGTAAACTCAGGTGACTAGTTTGTCTGCGGCTGAGACTGCTGCACCTTGACCTCTCGTGTGAAGAGTCTTCCTTTATTTGGAAACTCTCCAAGAGCTGAGGTGCTAGGAAAGGATCAATTACCCCAACTTTGATGGCTTTTCAGGGTGCTATGCAGGGTGCAAGCTGGGCTGCTCTAATTAAAGGCCATGACTTGCTGTTTGTATGCTGCAATCCTAATTGGCCTGCAAGATGGAATTACCCTCTAGTGTTTGTCCCACCTTCCAGCTGTCTCCCTGCCCTTAGCTTTATGAAAAACTCTAAGTTGCAGTGGATGTGGATGTCTCCATGTGTGCTAAGGGACTGGACAGCAGCAGCTGTCTCCATTTGTACCCAGAGGACCATTGGCCTGCCCTATAACTGCTAAGAATTGCCATGGTCTAACCTCATATACCTATCCAATCCAATGTGCTATTCCTCTGACAGTGGCTGGGCAGCACAGGCTACAGAGGGAGGTACAGGCAAGGAAAGACTCATTATAGTCTGTCTTAAGCCTTAATCAATTAGGGATCAGTTTAATCAATCAGTTTGAGCCCTAAAGCACTACATTAATAATGTCCTTCAAAACATGTTAGTAGCAGAATCCAAGATGCTTGGTTATCCATAGATATCCCAT